CTGTCAAACTTAGATAAGCTTTTTCCTTTAAAATGTAAAAAGTCCTCTAAATAAATATTTTGCGCAAGAGGTAGAGATGAATATTTTGCTCCTTGGAAAGCAAATTGCAGTCAGCAACAATTTCGTGGCTAAAAGATGAAGGAAGTGCGCGTGGTAGGTGTTCCATTTGGATTCAATTGGGAGGACAAATAGACGCAACGTGGATTAGGTGAGGGGGGTCCCGATGTGCCTTGCGCAGGACGGCACGATAACGAGTTCTTAGTCGATGGTCAGGTCAAAGAAATGGTGCTGCTTTGCCAAACAAATATTAGGAATTGGGATTAGCGTGGAAAGTACTTATTAAAATGATAAATAAAGGATTAGTGGTTTTGGTGCCCTTATGACTCTTGTTTCATCATCCCTCCCCAAATTTCCTATCTCTCAATGGAGCGGGGTCGAAATGAAAAAAAGCCTAATGATTTTGATTTCCCCTGAGAGTACACTGTTTATTTTTGTTCAGGTAAAACTCAATTTAGGAGTATCAATCCAAATGTTGTGGATGTGACATCCTCAACTTATAGACCGACCTCAATAAATAAGCTTTCTCTTTATGAGCATGAGAAAAATAATGTTTCAAGATTGAACAGAGAGTATCCAACTTTTAACGGTGAGATTCAAGTGTTAGATAATTCATACCTTCTCGTGATTCTTCTCAAAATTTGAGAAAAAAAATTCTCCTAAATAGATCTTCTACTTTAGAGAGTAATTGTACACTATGTTCCTGTAGGAGCATAATATACATACTAAAAAAGTGGGCCTCGTTCATCATATTTCCACTTGGAGGGTGGAGTTTCGGTGGTTGGGGATAAACATTCCAAAAGGGCAAAGATAAAGCTAAAAGATATTATATTCGTGAGAGAGTATACTGTCCATTTACTTTCTCAGACAAAAGTCTATCTAGAATTAAGTTTAGGACTTCTTCAACCCATAGATTAATCTCAGTATATATATATATATATATTTTTATTTTACCTTTTATGCACTTGAAAGAAATAATGTCTCGAGATTGAATAGAAACCGTCCAAATTTTAGATGTGAGATCTAAGCATTAAAAAATTCAAATTGTAGATTTGTTTTTTATGAATAGATATCCAATGATTCTTAGATAGTTTCCAAAATTTCAGAGTGAAAAAATCCTCTCAAGTAAATATTTTTACCTAGGGAGTAGAAATAAACTATGTTATCAAGGAACATAGTATACATATCCAAAGATAAAGAAAGAGTAAAGGAGAAAATGGTGTAAATCCCATCGCCGATGTCATAAATCATGTGGTAAAGCAGACGGATTCCTCCCCCTTCGCTGACATGAGAAAAGCTTACTCTGAGCAAAGCCGCTCCTCCCCGAGGAGGAGGAGAAAGCGGATATCATAAATCGGTCTTGGTGGTAAGTGACGATATGCATTATCGGCACGTCATATATGATATATCTTTTCAGACTTACCTTTTGGCTAAGGCGAGTTATTGGGACAAAACTCAATCGAGTCTAGCACAAGGTGTTTTTGGTCCTAATAAAAGTTTTAAAAATACATTAAAATTTTTAAAATAAAAAACAGGTAATAAAAATAAGTTGAAACCTTAAACAACTTTAAAAAGTTAAACTTAAAAATATATAGAAAAATAGATTTTTTTAAAATAATTGATTTACAGTTTAGAACATTTTAAAAATCTTAAAAAAAATAAAAAATATAAATAGGAAAAGTATACTTAGAGACCAATTAGATATCTAATGACGAGGAGTGATTGTGACCTCCTTGTTTGTATCAATGATAAATGGTTTCATATTATACAATCCCATATAAATATAATGATTATGACAAAAACCACTCATCAATCTTTACCAAATACGTCCAAATAATATACAAAAATATTATAAAATAATCCAACTCAAGGAAACTCGGCTTCGTCCGAGTCGGGCAAGTCACGGACATTGTTCCAACCGACAAACGTGTTCTCGACAATCCCAATTTTTTTGGGAATGTGTATATCAATTCTTTTTCTATTTCAAAGATCAGACCTTTGTCTTTTTGTTTCCACGTTGAGAATTATATAGAAACAACGCAGCTCACAATTGCCGTTGCCGGATTGGGAATCGAGAAAGTAGAAGCTCACTGGGGTGGGGTGGGGTGGGGTGAGCAACACTATAACTGAGGTATGGCATAAGCTAGATGTGCTGGAGGACGTGTTATGTTTGTGGACTTGTTCAGCCTCTTGAGGACGATGGATACTATTTCGGGGAAGATTCTTTTTTAAAACGGGGCACCATCGAATAGGGAACACTCTTCATTATGGCAACGATGGATACTATTCGGGGAAGATTCTTCTTTTAAAACGGGGCACCATCGAATAGGGAACACTCTTCATTATGGCAAGAGGTACCGGGGGCTCATAACAAGGAACAGTAACGAGCACTTAGACTTGCCATCTAAAAGGCTCCACAGGTTCACTCCACGAGGGTGAGGCGTGCAAGTTTGACTTTTGCTGTCCTTTTTCACTTCTCAAAATGCAAATTTTGGGGTTTGCGTTTGAGGTTTTTACCGGTATTGAGCTATTTAAGTAAAAGTTTAAGGTCTTCCATCTTCTTTTGAACAAATAGGGATGCTTTTAACGTCTTCACTTTATCGGACGATATCAAATAACTTTTAATGTCATTAGCTGATTTGGATGAGTGTGAGGTGCTTTTTGAGCAAATAAAGATGTTTTTAATGTCTTAACTTTTATCGAACGATATCAAATAGTTTTTAACATCATCAATTAGATGATGTTAAAATCATCACCCACATTGGACTTAAAGAGGCTTTTAACGTCAGCACTCTTATTGGATACAATCGATGACCATTTTACATCACCCACCTCGGACTTAAGAGGCTTTTAACATCTTCACTCTTATTGGATGTAATCAATGACCATAAAACTAGAGCACTTAAATAGGCTTTTAACGAAACCGTTTTTAAAATCGTTACCCACATCGGACTTAAAGAGGCTTTTAATGTCTTCACTCTTATTGGACGTAATCGATGACCAATTTTTGTCATAGCCCTTGTTGGACAAATTAGGGGTGCTTTTGAAGTCATCATCCATATTGGACATAAAATAGGTTTTTAATGTCTTCACTCTGAGTAGACACAATTGAGTAACCATTGTTAGATGAATTGAGGGTACTTTTAAAATCTTCACCCGTGTTGGACATAAGGAGGGTTTTAATGTCTTCACTCTCATTAGATGGATCGAGGACCTTTTAATGTCATCATCCGTGTTGGACATAAAAATTTTTTTAATGTCTTCACTCTCATCAGACCTAATCAAACCATATCGAAGTTATATGTCAAAGGAGCTTGTTACTTTCTAAATCATCATTGATATGTATATGATGTTGTTTCATAAAACTTTGCAAAGAAAGCACCCCAAATTGTTAATTATCATTAAATATGGCTTAGCTCCAATAATTCATTATCTAATGAAAGAAAGGGGCATAAGAAACACCCCTGGTTGTAGTTCTAAGGAGGTTAGGGGAGCTGTTCATTAATTTATAAGTGGGGATGAATCTCATGCCATGATCAATGACATCCATGAATTGTTTAATGGGAATGGTCAAGAGGGTAAGATGCCTTAAATGCTCCAGTTTTATTTTTCATTATTCTCTTGTAAATTATATATCTATATTATATAGTATTTCATCATCATCGTGCGAACTTTATCAAACTATATGGGGTTTGCTACACAAACTACTGTACAGTATTTCGGTAATGAAAATCGATAGTGAACTTTTGAAAAAAAGAATTTAAAAAAAAAACGAAACAGAGTATGCCACCATCATGCTCATTTCGATCACAATATTTGGACCGGTAAAAGAAGCCCAAGATACACAATTACGATCTATCCATCTTATTATAAATGTAAGAACATGTTGAGGCCTACAAGAAATAAATAAATAATGAAAGAGGAATCAAGGGAAAGGTCCATTACAGTTACAGGAAGATGGTGGTGAATTCATGGGCATTTGTTCTTCCACCTTTGATTGGTCTCAGTCTGAGTGATTCTCAGTCCAAGGAGTGGGAAATCTCTCCAAATTTGGGGAGGTGGTCGGGGGAGATGGCCAAGAACATGTCGACGGCCCCCTTCTGCTTGTAGGAAGGCACAAATACGAGGAGCCCCTCAATGGGGAGCCATGGCGGCAGGAATGCACAAGGCCCGCCGGTTCCGAAATCGAGCTCACCGAAGTCGAAACGCAGCCAGCTGTCAACCTCCAAATTTGGGGACAGTGAGATGCCCTCTGCTGCTGCGCTAGCCACCAGGTCCTCCTCCTGTGCCAGTGAACCGAAGTCGATGAAGGATCGGAAGTAGGCATCATCGATCTTACTGACGGCCTCATGTATCGCCCTCGCTGCGTTGGCTGTATTTAGATCAACTAGCTCCTCGGCCTTAAGCTTTGGATGAGCCCACAGGACGAGGTTTCCGAAATAGCCCATTGGAACGCGAGGCCTCAGCCTCGCACGCCCGTTCACTGCTATGCGCACATGGGTATCGACCTGGGCGTCGATGCCACGCGCAATGGTCAGCTTCTGCCAGACGTGGGCGAGGAGGCACTCGAATGTGGAGTAGCGGCCACCGCCTGCGGCCTTCAGGGTGGCCACGAATTCTGCCGGGAAGTGCACCACCACATTCTCAAACTGGGCAGGTGGCTGGGACCCTGGGGCCTCGGCACCCGATTGAAACTCAATCTCACGGTGCTCAAACTTTGGGCAGGGTGGGTCACGGGGTGCCAGCATCGAACGGTCATGCACAGGGGCCAACGCTGGAGGCGGGGGCGGGTCCTGTCCCTCGATCGTGGCGCGTACAGTGCGTGCCCATTCAATGAAGAAGATGCTCATGGACTGTCCATCCCCAGCTTTGTGCTGGCTGGTTGTGCCGAGGATGATGCCCCCACACGAGAAGCGAGTGATTTGTACCTGAAGAAGCTCCTCCACACCTTCATCGATGGGGGGATGGAGAATTGAGAGGGCCGGGGAGGGATGCAATGGGAGGTGGTTAGCTAGGGGGGTGGACACACGAGCCTCGATGACCCTAGCACCGGCATTGTTGAGCCTGATACATGGGAGGCCCGAGACCGGATCAGTGGAGAGGCGGCCTGCGAGCATCCGGTAGTGGCTCAGGACCTCTGAGAGGCCGTGCTTGAGGGCGTCATTGCTGGGCGTAGGGGCACGGAACGCATAGAGGATAGGCACATGCAGGTCGAAGGCTGCCCTGTCGAAGATGGTGAGGGGGATCGAGCCCTCGACAACGGTCGCTGCAGCCTTCACAGTCGTGGAATTCAGGATTTCTAAATCCATTTTTCTTCTGCTTTTGATGTATAAGCTTCCGCTTCGGCTCGGAGATGTTCCCACTTTCTGTATCCCTCGAGAGCGACGACAGGAAGGAAGAAGAGTCGGCCTCGGACTTAAATGGTTAGTAATTGACAATTGCAACACTGTATCCCAAGATCAAGATCGGTTCCTACAGCTGAACTTGAACCGCAGAGGTGGTGAGGGATATCCCAAGATCGGTTCCTACAGCTGAACTTGAACTGCAGAGGTGGTGAGGGAGTATGGATATGGCATGCTTCATGACTGCTTCGGTCCCCATTTATAATGTGGGGAAAGAACTTGTTTTTCATTTTTTGTGAGGTGTGAGGAAATAGCGGCACACTCGCCGATGACCATTGACTCGGTAGACTAGTAGTGTACACGGTAAAGTTTGAAACACGGCCGTTACATGAAAACTTTGGTTACTAGGAATAAACCTACTCGTTCTGGCAGTAACACGAAAAGATCGTTTTTTTTTTTTTTTTTTACAAGAACGAAAAAGTACGGTTTTTTAAAATAATAACAACTTACTCAATTTGTAATATAATGCCTATTGGCCCATTACAAAAAATAGTGATATATCTAAACCAATGTTATAATGCCTATTGCCCCATCACAAAAAATAGTGCCATATCTAAACCAATGCTCAGGAACTGGGCTAGGGTTTGCAATTTAGCATAATTTTTTTTTTTACAACCTAGGTATTACCGAGTGCTTTGCTCAACAAGGAGCAAAGCCTACAAGCAATTCCCTATTTAACAAACTTAAAGGCCTGGTAGATGCATTTGAGTTTTTAAAGACCGAAAGGACAAAAAGATGAAAAAAAAAAAAATACACTTCACGGTCTAAATGTAATAGAAATTCATTTGAAATAATATGCAAGGAATCCTCCATCTTCCTTTAAAGACGTTCTTTATTCCCCACTACAATTATTTGTCCTTTTTTTTCTTTTCCCCTTATGAATTTTTTAACTGTGCTCTTTTACAACGGACCGTTACCATAACATAAAGGTAACAGTCCCTCCTATGACCCTACCGTTACATAAAGGTAATGATTAATGGATCCCTCTTATCTCCATGACTGGGTTGGTAAGCAGTGCCGGTCCAACATTGCAGCTAAGGACAGGTTCAAGGAAATAAGCTGCCTTGTTGATCATGATTTCTTTTTCTTTTGCTTCGGGACTGGTCTTTACTTGCGTCTATCTCTAATATGCATCATGTAATTTCTGAATGATGCAATTCTGGTCTTTTAGTTAGACAACAATGTTCGGTCAAACAAAAAGTAGATGTATCAACGAAATTGATATGCCCCTGTAAGACCGTATAAATATTCACGTGTAAACTTGAACTTTTAGTATTGTTTTTTTTTATTTTTTTGGGTAAGTACTTCAAGTACTGTTTCAAGTTGAAACTTTCAACTACAAGGGGATGTAACTTCCTCACACGCCCTATCGCCATAAAAAAAAAAAAAAATCCCTACATTAAGGCCTTTCTGAACTCAGAATTAAATATTATTTTAATAAATCCCAAAACTTTTAAATAGGTATTTTGAGTGATTGGGTAAGATGAATACTATGCTCCTGCAGGAGCACACTGCACCCGGCTAAAATTTCGTCATTAATGGTGGCGCGCTGGTGGGGTAGGTATCGCTGTTCCATTTGGACTTGACTGGACGAGGAAGAATCTACAGTAGGTGTCGCAATTATAGAGATAGTGGGGTGGGTAATTCTGCTCAATTTGGAGTAGTGTTCAAATCTAAAAAAATTGAACCAGCCCCGAACACCTCCAATGGCCGGTTTCGAGTAATCGGTAAACCAGCCGAAAAGAACCCATCCATCTAAAACGTGTTAAAAAATGGGATTTTTTTTTAAAAGATAAAATCTTATTTAAAGTATGATTAAACAAAGTACTTATAAATGAAGTTGAAAATTAGTGAAAAAATAGATTTTAAATAATATATTTGTGTCTAGGTGTATTTTTGAAATTTTCTCAAAAGGATGAAAAAATATAAAATAAATATTCAAGGCCAAAATACTTTACAATATTTTCCAAAATGGTAAAAAAAAAAATTAAAAAACACATGACAAATAAATCCTTAATTTTTGGGGATTTTATATAAAATTTTTATTTTTTTTAAATACCCGGTCGGACCACCAAAACCGGATTGGCCAGTGGCTAGTTTGGAGTTAGACGAGCCGAGTTCGTGAACCATGATTACACCTTAAATATGGTCAAAGTTCTCTCCAACAATGAATCTAAACCATCTATTTGATGAATTTTAAGATCTAGGTCTTTATAATTTCAAAATCAAATTTTTTTTTTTTAACATTAGTAATCTAACGATATGAAAACAATCAAAGATTTGAAAAAAAAAAAATCCTTCTAGGGCTTAGATCTAAGTGTCTCATTAAAATTGATGGCCTATATTAATTGAACTAGAAAAACACTTTATAGGATGTATTTTCAAATTTTGTTTTTTTTTTTTGGTAACGGTTCATTGGAATTAAAAGAGTGTATATTTAAAAATTTGAGTGAATTAAATTTCTTTAACATGATTTTTAAAAATCGTTTCATTATACTATTATAAAACCATTGCATGAAATCACTCCCGATGAGTCATGAAGTCTAATAATTCTTTTTTGAAATTATTTTTTATTCAATGACACTCTTATAACTATCTATTTTGAAATTTAAAAAGCAAATGATCATATGTATATATAAAATTATTGATAAAAAAATTATTTATTTTTATTACAAAAAAATCATACTTATTCTCACCCTCTTTCCGTGTCAATGGGGCGCGCTGGGTGGGGTTAGAAGGTGCACTTCCTCTATGAGAAGAAGAAAAGCAAAATATTTTGTAGTACGGTAAGAATATACTGTCCATTTATTCATGGAGTAAATCTCTATTCAGGAGTATCTTTATGACTTTAAATATGTGTATGTAACCTTTTGAATTCATCGACTAACCTCGATGAAAAAAAATCATTTTTAGGAGCTTGAAAACATGTGTCAAGAATGAATGGAAACCATCCAGCTTTTGGAAGGAGATCTAAGTATTAAAAAACTCAAAAAAACATCCTAATAGTTTTAAGTTGTTTTTAAAATTTTAAATTTTACAAATAAGAGCGTCTTAAATAAATAAGTGTACAACATGTTTCCATGGGAGCGTAGAACATACTGTACATGTTAAAAAAAAGTAGGCGGGGTTGAGCATATCTCCACGTGGTAAACGCCTGGCGGTAGGGCAAAGAAGAGTCATTGTCATCATCCTTCGCATCATTAGAGGGTTATCTCAAACGACTACAGGTGGCAAAATCGACCTCGAACGATTAACCAGACATGGCCCAAAAGCAATTTAATCAACTTAATCCGTATATCCGGTCCAATCAATCGTTCTAACCGGACAAGGTTTGAACGGTAAAAAAAAGTATTGAAAAATTTAAAAAAGATACAAATAAAATCTATTAAAATATGTAAAACATAAACAATGATTTCATGCAACAAAGTATTATAGTATAATGCAACGACACTTACAAACATTTGTCAAAAAATAAAAAAAACAAAAATACAACGATACTTCTGAAAAACCATATTTGTGGTATTTGCATTACCCAAAATTTTGTATATGCACTTTCTTTGTCTCAATAATCAATCCCAAAAAAAAAAAAAAGAGTTCAAGTTGAACCTTAGATATGGCCAAAATGAGTTCCCTCCAACAATCAATCGAGACCATTTATTTGGTGAATTTCAAGATGTAAGCCTTTACAAACTCAAACTTATTTTTATCTTTTTTAACATTGTTCATCTAATCATAACAAAGCCATCTAAAAAAATTGGAAAAGAAAAAATCCTTTCAAGGCTTAGATCTAAGTATCTCACCAAAATGGACGGCCTATGCTAATTGGGTTAAAAATATACTTTCTAGCTTTCATTTTCAAAATTTTCTTTTTTGTGATTGTTCATTAGAATGAAAATAATGTATATTTAAAAATTTGGATCAAACAAATAACCCTAACATGGTTTTTGAAAGTTATTGCATAATATTACTATACAACCGTGGCATGAAATCGTTGCCCTATAAAAAATGATTGAAACAAAACACATTCAAATGAAGTTGCAAATTAATGAAAAAAATATATTTTAATGAATCTATTTTTGAATTAAAGTGAGTATTAACGACAAAATAAATTTTTAATTACTTTACCTATAATAGTAAAAATAATATTACAAACCAAATTACCTTATTTTTAGTAATTATATATATATATATATATATATATATATATATATATTTATTTATTTATTTATTTATTTATTTATTTTTATTTTTATTTTTTTTAAAATACCGATTGATGACCAAAACTGGAATTAACCACTGGCCAGTTCCAATCTAACCTGACAATTAGCAATTAGATTGCCCAGATTTTGTAACAATGATCTCAACCAGTGTTTGAAAACTCGCCAAGTCGAGCCGGAACCGCCCGGTTCGACTCGGGAATCGTCGGCTACCCGGCTCGACTGGGGAATCGTCGGCTACCCTGCTCGACTCGGGAATCATCGGCTACCCGGCTCAACTCGGGAATCATCGGCTACCGAGCCGGTTCCATGAAAAAATCAGGAATCACCCGTATATGGCGGTGTAAAAAAAAAAAAACCTATAAAAGGGGGAAGAGGGGGGGGGGGGGAGGTGGGGGCGGAGGATAAATAAAGGTGAGAGAGATGCTAGCTGAATATCTAATAATAACAAACAAGGATAATGAGGACAATGTGTAGTTTCTTCACAGCATAGGCTTTACATTTCTAGGCCATGGTAAGCCATCTCTTATTGTCTGCATATTTTGTCAATAGGTGGCGAAAGGGGTAACAAAGTTTCGTCATTTGATACAATCGCATTCCGTTAGATCAGAGCAAATTCAATAAAAGTGAGAGAGATGCTAGCTGAATATCTAATAATAGCAAACAAGGATCGCCAATGTCCTTGAACAACTAAAAGCTTAAGAGCTTACAACAAAAGAGAATCAGCCCCACATTGTGCAGTTTCTTCACAGTATGGGCTCTACATTTCTAGGTGATGGTAAGTCATCTCTTATTGTCCGCATATTTTGTCAGTAGGCGGCGAAAGGGGCCAAAAAGTTTTGTCATTTGATTCAATCGCATTCCGTTAGATCGGAGAATATTCAATAAATATTAAAAACTCTATAATGACTTATAAGAGCATTAAGTAATGAATTAGTGGAGCTAAGCCATCTTTGATGATAATAAACA